CCTCCCCGCCTGTCTCCCCCAGATTACACGCAAAACACGTGAGCCCCTTTGAGCTACCGCTCTGTGCTATACCGTCATGCAAGCCTGGACGAGAACGTGAATATAGTGTGTGCGGAAGTTATGCCTCACACTTCAGTGGTCCAATTTTTGTGGTTTCAAAGGTGATCCTTTTCACAGTTTCAAACAACGAAAAACAATAAACCTGCTAAAAATTACTTCCGACTAAATTTTCGCTAACGGTTGACGTTTTGAATGTCAGTCACGAATGACGTCATGAATGTTGATGATCAGATCTTGGAAAAATTGCACGACTTTGACGGGCTTTAGTGCCGCCCCCCCCCTCCCCACTCTGGAAAGAAAACACATTGGATTTAGAGTCCAGACTCTTGAAAACATTGACAAGAAAAAATACTCTTGATTCAATCGGATTTTTGCTTGAATCAAAACGAAATCCGCTTAAATTAAGGGGCTTGGTTCTTGATTTAAGCTAGATTCTAATTGAATCAAGAGTACTTTTTCTTGTCGATGTTTTCAAGAGTCTGAACTCTAGATCCAATGTGTTTTTTTTTTTTTCAGTGTAAAGTGTTTTCATAGGGATTTTCCCGAAGTGAGAAAGTCTTACTTTTACCCTAATACTCTATTCTCAAAAGAAGGCGCATTAATTTTTGAACACCCTGTATAAGTGTATACGTGCAAAGAGTCTCTGCGGAATATTTTCCCAAGCCCCATTGAATAGACTCGTATATGTGTCTACGGAACAAAGCAGAGGCGAAATGTCCCGAAGACTCCGCACAAAATATTCAAGAAATTACGACGGGTGAGACAGATATTACTTTCAGGGATCTAACGTTACAGCAACATTCATCTCAGTCAATGGTGGATGTTAAAAATCGTGCCGAGCGCTCGGAGGAAGTTCGGCGAAAGTGTTTCCGTCCCCACGAAGCCGTATGCAGATATGGTAATTTTCTTGCCCCCTTGTCTTGCCATACATTTATTTTGACGATAAAAACGTACTCGTTTTTTCTTCAAAAGTCGATAACTCTTCCCTTGAGAGGCGGAGATAATGTTTTGTTAAGAAAATTTCCGGCAGCTCTCATCAGAAAAATTCGTTTCCTGCCAAAATTCTGAAACGCGACAACAAAGTCACTTGAATAATCATCCTGTTAAACTTATCGAATGTATGCGCTTCACTAACCTCAAAATCTTACCTCTCCACTCACCCTCCGCCACACACTGGAGATCCAGTAATGAACTTTCCCCCGCACTAATAAGTATTTCATCAACATGCCCTTTTTCTATTTATTATATGCTCTTATTAGCGGCTCTGGTGCTTGCACTAGAGCTGCTATTCCGGACGGTCCCAGCTGGGGAGTATCATTGGACCATGTTACATTGGAGAGACCGCGCGTTGGTTGATGGGAATCGGCGCCATTTTCTGCTGTTTAGGGGGGACTGATTTTATTTTAATTGATATCTTTTTCCTGTGAGCGAATGCTATGTTGTGTAGTGTATTTTTGGAATCATGGTGATACTGTCAATAATTCAAAACGGGTCTGTGCTTTAATCTCGCACTGGAAAAAATGTACTTTACGTTTAAAATTTGAAAATTCAAATCTATAAGTTTTCGCGCTTTTTTCGAAGAATTCCGTGGTTGGAGCTTCCTAGTCATACTACTCGACATCAGCTGATAGCAAACAAAGGTTACCAAGGAAACCGTAAACGCGTAACAACTACCGTCGCCAGAGCCGCTTTCCGACGCGAATGCGTTGGAGCTTCCTGCTTGTTTATATTTTTCTTCAAATCCTCTAAATTTTACGCTCTTGTTTTTTTAGTATACTACCCTCCTAATTTTTTCCCTTTTTTTTAACTAACACTGGAACCTAACAACAGAGGTATTAATGAACATAGATGCTAAGGCATTCCTTAAAAATAAACGTACACTGAAAAAAGTTCGGTCACATGAACCGAATTTTTGGTGTTCCATATCATCCCAACTTTTCGGTTTTTCAAAGTAAACTTCCGGTTCGTGTAACCGAACAATCGGTTCAAATGACCAACCTTTGTTCGTCAGTTCACTTTACCGTTGAATTTCGGTTTGCCAAACTGAAAAGTTAGTTGGACAAACTGTAGTTGTAGGATGATATAGAACACCGAACTTTGATTCATACGACAGAATTTTTTTTTTCAGTGTAAATTATACTGTCACTACCATCACCACTTTTTAACGCTAAAGCGTTTCTTCTGAAAAACAAAACTGGTAAAATTTTAATTAATTGTATTTTCTTGTCCGTAGGACCAGTGAGTTGGTTGCACTGATGGCTGTTTCCTCGACCCTTTTCTTGTTCCTACACACACGCGAGCTTCACCTGAGGCTCGAGCAAATGCAAGTCAAATTCCAACCAGAAGAAAGTTTTTCATCAGGTGAGTCATTCTTGTATACATATACTTCAATATATCTTTCATAAATTCAAGGTACACGCATTCAATTATCAGTATTTACACGGAGGGAGTTTTTTCTCGGTCTTAATTGTTTCGATTCATGAATCATAAATTATTCAGTGTTATTTTATTTCCTGATTGCACGCTCAGCACATACATTTTTGAGGATAATGGGCCTGTTGCAAACTTTTGCTAGAGCAAAACTAAGAGTTGTTTCTTATAGATAATGCCTCAAAAATCACGATGAGCGCATCGGCAAACTCTGAAATGCACTCATAACTTCACAAACTGCGTAAGAAATTTGCGGTTTTTTGAGCTTCTCGCTTCAAAAACGATACTACGGCACAGGTGAACATTTTGTAAGAGGAGTCGTTCCATTGTCGGCAATAATCATCATAGCCGACGCCAATCCGCCAAAACACGTTTGATGGGACGAGATAACACCTGAACTGGATTAGACCAGATAACAATCGGTGTGTTAACGTTCATATTTTCCACGCCCGAATTGATTGACCTTGAACTCTCCTTGAATTACGCGCGGAACTGCGTGCAAGCGTCGGCCATGATGAATATCGCCGACGATGGAGCGACTCCTCTAACAAAATGTTCACCTATGCCGTAGTATCGTTTTTGAAGCGGGAAGCTTAAAAAAACGCAAATTTCTTACGCAGATTGTGAAGTTATGAGTGCATTTCAGCCTTTGCCGATGCGCTCATCGTGATTTTTCAGGCATTATCTATAAGAAACAACTCTTATTTTTGCTCTAGCAAAAGTTTGCAACAGGCCCATTCGTCTTTGCAAACTGCACTGGCGGCGCATGAATTGATGGTCAATGTAATTAATACACGAAAATTTTATTCTCATGGTCATGCACCCAACAACCAACGTTGACGTATCTACTGAAATTTTAACTGATTACGTTAAGATTTTAAATTTATATTTCGGATTGCAAGTTAATATTTACTTTTGTAAAATTATATCCAATCCTGAAGCGAATGTAATAACGCACAGGTCGGTCATTAGTGGACATGCACACACTGCCTAAGCAACAACTTAAAAGTGTAATTATTATTTAAACTCAGGGATTCAGGGTCCCTATGGGTTTATCTGCAGTGGCAATTTTTGTAAGTTGGCAACACTGTTTTTTCCAAGTAAATGTATGTTAAACAATCGATTCTAGGTGAGGTAGTGTGCCTTACATGGAATCGATTTATTCGATGGATTTAAATGGAGATTAACTGTGTTGCCAGGTCCGTGGCCCACTCGATTCTACTTTTCTACCCGAGCGTTGAAGTCTCCTTGCCGGTTTTTTTTTTATTGAATTAACTTGCATCGACGGGGTGTTAATGTTCGATTATTGATCCTATTTGAAGCTGTTGTAAATAATCGATTTTTAGGGTATTTGTTGCAAACACCCTGTTTATCAATCCTTTTCCATATGTTTAAATGGCAGATTAATCGATAAATCGCAAAGCACACCACGACTTAGAAATGGACCTTATTTTGCGATAACCGTTATATCTAGCTCATCCGCAAAAAAAACTATCGGAAATATTAAGGAAGTAGAAGAGAGGGAAGAACGTGAAAGGGAAAAATTAGGAGTAGAGGCGGAAGAAAAAAACAAAAAGAGACGAAAGAGGAAAATAAGAGGAAGCTAAAGAAAAAAATGTTCCTATCAATATCATGATGTATGAAATTAAAGGACGAGCCTTTAAAACCGGTTCACCAACCTGCACATGTAAGGTTTGCCGCAGACATTACAAAACTGAAGTAACCCGATAGAGGCCACGCTATAGCAACCTAGCTCAAATCGCTTCAGTCGTCAGGTCGCCGTCAACGATATTTTGCGGTGAGGTTATCATACAAACTCTGTCTCTTATATTACTCAACCATGTCAAATTTGAGAAAACCGTCTATAGAATTGTGTCTTTTGAAGTAAGACACGATGATCCCCTTTAAAAAACTGACAACCGCGTTAGCGTCAACTTTGATGCAACTTCGTGAACATCCGTATTATATATCCTGTTGCATACGTATTATCCTGTTGCATACGTTGCAAATTACTTCATGCGCTAAGACTAGACATACCGGTATGAGACTGCTCTGTATTTTAACCCTAAGAACACAAATATTGATGGACTTAAACGCTTAATTTAAGGTCTCTTGTCGTGTCAAAAGGATCAACTGAAACGAGACTGCAAAAAAATAGAAACGAGGAAGTGGTGCAGACCATAGGCGTGACGCCTTAGCGTCGCTCCGAAACAAGGGTGTATCTCAATTTCCACGTGACCCCTGTTCTCCGCAAGTCTCCATGCCCTCTGGGGCTCATGTGCAATTAGAGTTACGCCCTTGCGTCAGAAGAGCGACGTTATTTCAGACCGACCAGCCTCAAAGGTATGGTTTCCAATTAGTTAGTTCTACAGTCCCAGCATAACGAATAACTGCAGCATGTCAAAAGAAGAAACAGAATGTCACTTCCTTGCATGAGCGACGACCATACACGATACGGAACGTGTCCCCGCACAGTGCTTAAGGAAGAGAAATATTTCAGGCACGTCTCTCGGTGTTCTGTTTTCTTGTAATGAGCTCCTTATCACCGTAAAACGCTCGAGATTGTGCCCTCAGTTTTGCAAGTTGATCAGTGAAAAAAAGTAAAATTATTTATAAACTAGTAAAAGAGTGTATAGACACTTTGAGTGATCGAAAATGTAATTAAAATATGTATATGAAGCCTGCACAACGCTAGCTTTTTTTTCATTGACGCTGCGCTCTTCTTTAGGAGGGCTATGAGCGGATCCACATAGAGGGCGTACGCGCCCTACCTTCCGCACCCCGTTTGTCCGAAAAAAGGAGGAGGAAAAAGGGAAGAAAGAAAGAGGAAGGAACGGAGAAAGGAAGAAAGAAGGAAGCTTGGATTTGGCAATTGACCACTAGACAAGGTATGAATTTAAGCGATCTGGTACATGTTTCTTAACCAGAATTTGACGTAGAAAACGATTCACACAACGAAAATTACGGAAACCAACTCCTAACGGAGATATTAACGTTTTTATTTCACATTGGTTACGAGGAATTTGAACTGCCCGCTCACAAAAAACTCAAAACTCTACGTGAGTCAAATCGCCCACTACAACGGTTTCAGCAAGCTTCTCAATCGAGCAGTGTTCATTTCCCATCATGTGTTGTTCAAACTATTAGCAATTTGCTATAACTGAGCCAAAGCGTCAAGATTGAGGCTGCCAGATTTTTATATCGCAGAGACTGTCATGATAACGTTTAGCGCGCGATGTGAATCACGTAGATCATTGAGTTTTCATGAGCGGGTGGCTTGAATTCACGCATTAAGGATCATTAAATATCTTCGTAAGGAGTTAATTTCGGTAATTTTCGTTGTGTGCATCGTGTTTTACGTAAAATTTTGGTTAAGAAACATGTATCAGAATGCTGAAATTCGTTCCTTATCTAGTGGTCCATTATTCATCACAAAATAGACTCAAAATGCATATTATAGATGCATCACAATTTCGATAATTTTCCGTGGGAAGCCCCCTGAACCCCCCTCCTGCCTCCCATTCGAGGTGTGGATCCGCCTATGAGCAGAGCATAATACACTTCCTGTCAATGTACCCTAGGCGAAGAAGAGGCTTCTTTAAAAGGGGTACGGTTTGAAATAGACGATTTTCCTGCCCTTAGCTCCTTCTCGCTCTTATAACTATCGCGACCAAAACATTTCCTCAGCCTACGGTGATGAGCCACGGGGGCTACAGTGAGTCAGGAGTAATACATCCGTTTTTCATCAGAATGAGAAATGGGCTATTTCTGAGATCGGTCCAGACGAAGGAAGCAGAGAGGGGGGAGGGTTTTTTTTAGCCCCCCCCCTCCCCCAAATCCAAATCCCGAATCCCCAAATAATCAGCCCACAGCGGGCCGGTTATTGGAATTTATAGACAAAGCCATAAACAAATAAGACAAAAGGTATATGGAGGAATTTTTTCGGCGGAAGTGGGTGGTTGCAATGGACAAAGGAGGTAGGATTTAGACTAACTAACGGAAAGCAACGAAAGACCTTTATTGTTAGTCTGTCATTTTCTCCCTTAGTCTATAAGAGCTACCCATTTCAACCAATAGGATCGCTCCATACTTGAATCAGTGAGAACGAAAACACACCAACTCGGTAACTCAAAAATATCAATTTTCATTAAAAACAATCCATTTTCATACAGGTCATCGACATAAGCGCATCTCTTCCTAACTTGGACCCTTCAATGTCCTTCAGTATACTTGACTTTCGGCACCAATAATATTTTTCTAAGACTAACCTCCTCACCTACTGTGCAGTTTTATGTGTGTCTTGATTATTTTCATTTTTTCGAGTTGGTGTGTCTTCGTTCTCACTGATTCTAGAGTCCCTTTCTACTGACAGTCAAGACAATGTGAATCCATTTTTGATTGGTTACCGTATTTTAGGCCTTCATTGTGTCACTAACGGGAATAAAGATTACATTTTTGCCGATTGCAAAGATTATAATCTGGAATGGACCAGGGAATTATGGGTTCGGCAAGGAACAAACGGAATGAGAAAAGGAACGGAGAGAGGAATTTGAGAATGAGCCGATCAAAGATTACAAAAAACGTTCAATTTCTGTAATCTTTATTCCTGTTTGTGACTCACTGGGGGGTGTTGTCTTGACTCTTAGTATAAAGGGACTCTAACTGATTCTACTTCTGATGTTTTCTTCGTCTTACACGTTGTCTATGAATTTCAATAATCAGCCCGGAGCTCGGCGTGAGACGGATCTCGGGTGGATGAACCGGCACGCGCCGCGCCGCGGCGCGCCGCGACCGAAACAACAGCCTCGCCACCGGGTGAGGTCGCCGGTCGCGGCCGCGGTGGGAGCGGGCATGAAACGAGGCACTTTTACTTATTACTCGCGCATGCGCCGAGCTCGCCCGGTGCCCCATGCCCGTTGCGTTTATGACAC